GCTCAGGATAGGGACCAGTGGAGGGCTCTTGTGAACACGGTAATGAGCCTTCGGGTTCCATAAAATGCTGGGAAATTCTTGAGTAGCTGCAGAATTGGCGGCTCCTCCAGAAGGGCACAGCTCCATGAGTAAGTAAGTGGGGTGGGACTAACTCCCTTGTACTGCGGCCACTTCTGGCCTACTGTACCAGCCCCAGATGATAGGTGAGGGTGATTGTGGAGCAACTGGTGGAATGAAGATTGGCAGGGGAAACCGAAGTACTCGGAGAAAACCTGCCCTAGCATCACTTTGTCCACCACAAATCCCACTTGACCAGACCCGGGATCTAACCCGTGCCGCCGAGGTGGGAAGTAAGTAAGTAAGTACCTGGAGTTATGATCGCTGAGATAACCCCTCTCTCGTTCTTTCTCCCGTTCTCTCTCACGCTCTCTAATCAGGTCGTTGCGGTCGCTGTAGTACCCTTCACGGTCGCGAGCAGCGCTGCTGCTTGGTCTCTCCAGGCCGAGACGATGTGGCAAGGGAAGTGTTGAAGATTTGTTCATACTAGCACTGCTCCCAGGCCCTGTGCGAAACAGAACGGTAAAATTAACATTTTATTTATATATGTAAGTAGCTCAGATTACAAAGCGTCGAGTGCTTGGGTCATTAATGTAGTTCTAGATCTGTAGACTTGTATTCGGAATGCGCTGGTCTCCCTCAGGGCACCCGCTATCCTGACTCACAGCTTTCTCATACCTTCCCGTCGTCCGCCCAGGCAAATACCGGATTGTGTCTCTATCAGACCACGAGCGCATCCTTCCAGATATTTTCCAATTCATTCTTTACCAATCACACTACCATTCAACGATATGTGGCCTGAGTTACTGAGTGTGTCGTGAAATGAACGAGTAAAGATTAATGAATAATTAATTTGAAATATTGTAGAAGAAAATGTCTGTAGCCTTATTTGAAATATGTCTGGAATAACTGAGGAAAACCACGAAAAACCTCAGTCAGGTTATTTTGGGAGATGGTTTCTGAATTTGTATGATATTTGTTCAGCCTTTACAATTATTATTATTATAAAATAAATTAAATATAGAATAACCAGCAAATGAATGAATATTATATCAGGTTCATTACTCTCTATACTTCGGGATGCCTGAGTTTGACTCCCTGGGCCTACGGCCTGGCATCCCGCTTAAATTACTGTTCCTGTAATACGATATTATCTGACGTACATTAACATGTTAATGTACAGAGCCCGTTGCTGCTCCTGCTGATGGCTGGTCACTTCACTCTCAAGCTGTCCCATCACCGCCTGCCACTTCCCTCTATGTATCTCCATATTCTGCCTTGCATCTTATCTTCCTAATACCGCTCATCCGTTGATGTTCCTAAACTTACCGTCCGCAACCTCGTGCTTCGAAATCTTTATCTTTTCACACCTCAACATATATCTGCACCCATCCTGTTTGATGCGCATGTGGTTGTTCTCTGTCTCCCCAACCCCACCCTACAGTCTCCAAACTCCAATTTTTCATCACAATATTCCTCCCCTCGCTTCCCCTATACATAATTCTCCCAGTTGCTCCTTAAATTATCATGCGGTGTTAGTAAACTTCTCTCTAACTTCCGGATTACTGTAAAACGAGGGTAACACCCGTTATAATTCAACGGGAAGTATATTTTGTTGTATGAGCTCTAGTGCTATTAACTTGCCCTTGTTTTATCCATATTCCTTTTCAACCCTACATGTTATCGAATGATACGTAGAGGGACGTTTAAATGTGTCTCCCACGAATAACATGTATAAATATTCGTAAATAATCTCCTTTACATGATATACTACAGCTCACATATTCCAATAAAAACTATATAGGCACTCACCAATCAGACACGATACTCTGAAAAAATTCCTCGTGACCTACTATATAACCCACTTACACGCAACCCGTTAACGCTCTACATGTTGTTGCTAAGGTAACCCAAAGTTGCGTAATCTCATATGTTTCATCTCACCGTGAAATTAATTCATATGTGCCCATCAGAGACTAAAAGAAACGTTAAATCATTGGTAAAGAAGGCTACAGGAGACAATGCAACTGCACAGAATTAATACAACAAACTTTTACTCACGTCTGCGAGAGGGGTAGGGGCTTCGTGTAGTCGACCCGGGCAGGCTCTCAGCGAACTCTGCAACACGTGACAAACACAGCTGCAGACCATCATACGCGTCTCCGTCGATACATGCATGTCTCGTTATTCTCTTAAATATACTGGAACTAAACTGAAGACTACTGTCTCTTGGTATGTGACCTCGTGTAGACTGGCAATCACCAGCGCTTCGTGATAACCTCCTGCCTATATCTTCAGGATACTATCAATTTTCCTCCTGTGCGTTGGTACATATCCACCGGACAGTAACTTTCGTAGTCACCGCAATGGCAACCTGAATCCTCATACCAAACTTTATTATTTGGTACTGACGCCAAATATAATTAGAATGATCTAGTTCAGGAAGATAAGGTGGCCAGGGCATGTAGCACGAATGGGTGAGAAGAGGAATGCGTTTAGGATATTGGTGGGAAAGCTAGAAGGAAAGAGACCACTGGTAAGACAAGTCGTAGGTTGGTGGATGATATTAAAATGGATCTTAGAGAAATAGGATGGGATGGATTGGATTGATCTGGCTCAGGATAGGGACAAGTGGAGGGCTCTTGTGAATACGGTAATGAGCATTCGGGTTCCATAAAATGCTGAGAAGTTCTTCAGTGGCTGCAGAATTGGCAGCTTCTCAAGAAGGGATCAGCTCCATGAATGAGTGACGGAAGCCAAATTTGGGGTTCCTTGCTTACTTTTAATTGGTTTCATGTTAAATCAACTGCAAGATGACAGACTTCTGGAATGTGACGCATTGTATTCTGATATATACCTACCAAACTACACGGCATCCCATACCAGAAGATAGCGATCTCCGTATTCATGTACGTGAGAACCACAAACCTCACGATATAGCCTTGAGTGGCAAGTCATTACAAGTGTAGACCTATGGGATATGACATAGTTCTATTTTATAGGATATATCCCCATTGCTTGCTGCCTGCTTCACCCTGGTTTTCTGCTTGGCTTACTATCCATCCCTGAAGATGCATGCGACATGTCCCTCCGAAACCTCAATTGACTTTCAACGGAGAAGACAATGTTGTGTCCCAGAGGATAGAATTCTTCATAAGCACTCATGTGAGAACCTCACATCCGACGTACATATATGGGACTTAATAACTACCTTCCATGAGCAATGACCGCATTTATAAGCTGATTGCCGCTGAGCTACTAAAGACGTTCCCCAGTTTTAAGCGGAGACTGTGGTGTTTTACACCGCTGTCAGTTCCTAGACGAATAGAAAGGAAGAACGGTAATGTGGCAGATGAATGGTGAATTGGAGGGGATTTGTTAGGAAGCGATCGTTACTTAACCGTGGGACAATTTGTGATATTTGCCTGGAGAAACTGAGGAAAACCGCCCTCATCCAAGATAACAGGTATCCCGTCCGAGGTTCGAACCGAGAAACTCACGACTACGAATAAGGAACACCGCACCGCACCAATGGAGGTATAGTTCCACACATGCCTAATGAGGCATTAGATGGAGGTGAGTGGTCAGCTTCATGCCTCGGCAGCTTTATTCCCTGAAAAAAGAGCCTCTGGTACCAACTGCATGGTTCCCAAGGCCGGTATGGACACTGTGGAGAACAGCAATGGTCTCGCCGGGAAGCGAACCACGATTCTCTGGTCGTGCAGTCCGTAACCTAGTCACTATTTTGGCTGACCCACTCCAGCTCTAATATAAACAGTTGTTACTGTGGCATGTAGACCCATTGTCAAGTAACCGTGTAAACAGGTGACAGTGCAACATCCATTGCTAGGTAACAGCTCTGTGGGCACGTAGTTCCCCGGAAGCGGAAGGAAACGCCATAATGGAAGAGACGTTTTCTGTGCGATCCGTTCCGGAGTTTATATAACGAGAAATAATAGGTCAATTATAGTCGAGTCAGTTGAGAGTTGTAGTTGTGAGAAGTGAGAAGCTGGTAGCTGAGGCCGTGGAAAGTTCGGGAACCCAGAGGAAGAGGAACATCTGCTGTTGGAAGTCGCTACCAAGCAACGGCTAATGAAGACTGAGAAGAGTTTATGTGTGCTGTACTTACTGTGGTCTTTCGAGTGTGTAACTCAGCGAGACTGTCGTAATTATTTGTAGTTACGTTCTGTTTAAGAGTTAAAATAAATCCGATTTCCAACCCAAACCTCAAATATAGTCACCCTTATCATGTGACATTATGAAATTTGGTATGAAGACTGTACTATTGCTGACTAACTTATACCAGTCTGTGACCAGCCGGGTTAGAGATGAAGTCACGGACTTAAAGACTGAAGGTTCGATAAAGTATTGTCTGCGTAAGGCTATTGCGCATCACAAGGGGCGGTGAAAGATGAGTATATGGTGGAGTGATGATTAGAATGGGAAAAGAGAGGAAACTTGGAGAAGTACCTGCTCCATTGACAGTTTTCCAGCAAGATTCTTACGTGAAGATGACAGCCATCCGCGTTGGGAACCGAACGCCTAATCATATGTGGAGCAGGTATTACTGAGCTAGCCTACCCGATGTCTATGAAAACTTCAACCACCTGAATTTTTACAAGTCTAAAGGTTCTTTAAAGTACCACCTGCTTTGACACAAAAAGATCTGTATATTTTCGCACGATTATTTAAGCTATGGGTTTCGTATGATTTTTGGAACAAACTGCAATTATTTTTCTAAGCAGCACTGACCGCTCATGCGTTGTCATGGAGACGTAGTTTTGATGTCTGTACTGTAGGAACTGAATTTGTATACCTTACGAGTATTTGAACTCATGCTGACCTATTTCCCTTTTTAGGCTGTGAGGTGATGTTGAAATTCCAAGATATTTCTGCAAGCTTTTTTTCATGCAATCCTCCCGATTTAAATAAACAAATTTAGTCCTTTGATGTTAAGGCTATGAAACTACTTTTCCAAATTGTGCAGTCCACGATTAGGCAATCTAATTCCAACGTCAAGTATTGTAGGCACTGCGAGTAACGTTAAAAATTAAACAATATCCTAATGTAAGTCCATTATTATTGTAAAACACAGATAAAAATTATCAGGAAAAGAGGAAAAGTCTGGGCCCCTAAAATACACTGCGAAAATTTTTAACTTATTTTCCATGCATAGAGTGTTACCTACGCACTGCATTTTATGCTACTGTAAATTCCCTGTGAAAAAAGTATGTTCCTCCACTGTTTGTTTTAACAGATCTCAATAAATGGTTCCATTATGAAGTTTCTTGGAGGAAGCGCGACCCTAGTGACGGCCGAACTCCTTAAGGACGCTAAAAACACGGCTTTAAAGTTAACTATACAGACCATAAATTTAATGGCACGGACCATAAATTGGTTCTAGCGGAAACATGAGAAAATATTAAAATTTGTTGTTAAATACAAAATGCAAAACAACAACACTTACAGGAGGTGATTATTTGTTAAGAACTTCAGGCAGATGACATATGCGCATGCGTCAGTGACGCAGCAGGCTATATAGCCGGCCATTGGCTCGTGTATGCGCACGTGTCTCTGACGTAGGAGAATGGCTGAGAGGATGGTTGTAATTTCCATCTTGATTAAATCTGTACATAGTAAGGTACATTTTAGAGTTTTTAAATTTATTTTTCTGTGCCTATTATTATTTGTGATGGGTAAAATATTTGCCTGTATTAAATACTGCGGAGAGAACATATTTCCACAGCAGTTTATGTCCACTTAGAATCAATAAGAAAATACAGGTCAAGGTACAGGAATTCACAATAGGGACACATTTCCGAAAACAAACCCGGGAACTTTCTGTGTAAATGAGATAATGGTTGCTGGTCTGTACTGTCGATTGTTCTTAGAATCGATCACTATCACATGGGACTATCAAATTAATCCTACACATGATATCAGTTCAATGATTTTCATTTTTTTTTTTTTGCTTTAGTCTTTTCGAAATTAATTCCCGCTCTTATAAATTTGTTGGCCGGCGCTATTGATCAAGTCCGTTTTCCTGGAGATTTTCATCTGCGCACAGCTCACATTAATGTCACCGACTCGGCGTAGTAGTGTACGATACAACCACCAGGGCGTGTTGTGGTTTAAAGTTGTAGGGCTGGCTGGCGAAAACAAAAACGGCAATATTGATTTGGACCATTTCCAGACCAACAAATATTTATTCTCTGTAATATTAATTAATTTTATTTATATGTTTATTGTCTGAGATATGTGGTTCTCGCTTCAGTGACTATAACGAGTATTGTCTTCTGGGAAATGATGCCGTCTAGTCTTGTATATATTTACAAACGTTTATGAAAACTGCTGCCCCAGTCTTCATGGCAGAAGAATGAGGCAGTGTGACGCTAAGGAAAACTGGTAAATATATCGTGACGGAATATGACATCTGCTATACAACGATTCGCTAAGCACATTCCAGTGGTAAAACAGGCAACAATAGAACCTCGGTTGCTTAGTAGCCAACGTCAGTAAGCACGGTTTCGTGACAACAAATAATTTACATGGATACGTGCAAGCGACAAACGATTCCACGGATAGGGGTTAGTCTATGTAAGGAGATGTGCAGATTCTTCAAGGATTCATTCGCAAGACAGACGTCGTTTAAGGCAGTTCAATGTATAAGCTGTTATAATCAACTGTAATTGTAAACAAGTGCCAATAAATCCAATCATGAAATCCAGAACCCCGTTATTATTAATCACGCTAACCCCTAATACGTGACAATACGTACCAGATAATAGACTGTCACACCCCAGAAGCTATTTTGCTGGCTCTTTCTTTCAAGCTTTTTATTACTCTTCCAAAAGGAAGGTGAATTTACCCCTAAATCTAAGCGGCCTCCGTAGTCTAGAGGTAACGTTCCCACCTCATGACTCGTAGTACGCGGGTTCAAATACCCGGCGGAGGTCGTCGAATTTTTAAGGGCGGAAAAATTCAGGGAACAAGTCCTCCGGGAGGGACTTTAAGCTGTGGGTNTCGCTGGCTGGGCGGGACTGATGGTAAGCACCAGTACCGGTAGGATATAGAGACTGGTAGAAATCATAGAGGGAAGCACAATGGACCAATACAGGTCTAAGTGAATGGGGAAACCCACCCTCTCCAATAACTAACTAACTAACTAACTACCCCTAAATCTCCCATAAGGAATGATTAACAGAAAAGAAACCAACGAACAAAAAAGAGTTTAGGAATATGCATGGCTCTGTTCTGTAAAATTGTACAAACACATCGAACATGACCACAAATAAATAGATGCTCCTTATACTGTACCATTTGTATGTTCGTTATAGGAACGCAAAAACTGGCTCTTGACTAACCCAGGAGGATGCTACAAAGGCAGATCCTCAGGCACATTTGACTGATTTCCTGCAGAGTGACACACATGCACAGTAACTCTACGCAAAACAAATCTATATTCGAAGAGTTGTATATTCTGGCATATAATGCCGTGTATTCCACTGAAACGTCAACCGACGTTTCGCAGGAAAATGTCGCCTTCATCTTCAGGATCGAATAATATGTCAAGCATGAGACTTGCGTGAAAGCATGTGGGAAGCAACTTCCAACGGATTACACGGCGTCATATCCGAGAAAATTATCATCGCTGAGAGAGCCACAGAATCAATTCGGTTGACGTGATTGAGCCCCGTTCTATTACGTACAGCGGGCTGTGCTCCAAGGAAACTAACAGAGAGTCGACCAGTGAAACTTCTGGGTGTTTAGAGGCTGCATCAGTTTCAGGGTGGTCATTCAGTCAGTCGATAAGTAAGCAGGCAACCCGTCTGTGAGAGAGCAAATTGTCAGTCGGATGATGAGACAAGGTAATCCTAAACCATTGACTGATGAGAGTAAACACAAAACTGGGGTATCCAAAGAGTAACACAACCTACATATTGATTGCCATGTCCGTCTGATCTATCCAAGTTGCTGAGTTCGTAATTAAACAAAGAGACTTACCTAGGTTCTCCATGCTCTGCGTAAGCAGGGCTTCGAACGTGTGCAGACTGTAACTCTCGGCGTCCATGCCCTTGGCCAAGGTATTCCTCAGGTGCATCTCGTATTCTAGCAACAAGCGGCTGGTCGGCGAGCCTGGTGTCGGCGTCGATGTGGAGTTGTGGTAATGAGAAGGTTGGTCTAGGTCTGAGTTGCCGTTGCTTGAACTAGGCGTAGTGGCGTAGCACTGGTTGTCGAACAGAACGTTGTCAGAGGGCGGTGATAGGTCACCACCACTTCCATTTCTTTCGAGCTCCAGGTACAAGCCACGTCCTCCAGGGTAACCGCCCCCGCCCCGTCCGATCTCGTGCGAGGACCTAGAGCTGGAGAATCTGCCCCCCGAACTTTTGTGGTGATGGTGGTTAGACTCCGGCTCAGACAACACGTGGCGGCCATTGTTATTGGCGCCGTGGTGATTGTTGTAATAGTTGTACCGCCGGCGAGTCATTTCCGGTGACGTGACGGGGCTTTCCAATGATGGCATTGGCTTCAGCATTCTCTTCAGCGTGTTCGAATCCAGACTCATGTTCCCATCGCCACGACCGCCCATGTTCATATCGTCAGTGCTTTTGCTCTTGGATCTCCTGTTGTTATTATTGTTATTATTGTTGTTGTTATTGTTGTCGTTATTGTTGTTGTGGTTGACGTTGAGATGGTGTGCTGCGCGGAGTTCGGCCTCGCGCACCATGTCCATATCGGGGTAGTCTATGGACTTGGTGGACGTCAGGATGTGGAGCTGTTCCTTCTTCTTGCTTCCTTGCAGTGTGCCGCCCGCCTGCGTCCCTTCACTCTTTGACGCCTCGTGCGGTTCTTGACCCACCTGCGAACCCACATGGTTCTGTGTGCCAACCGACGTCTTTCCCGCTGTCGTCGTTGTGGTGGCGGAAGTGGGAGCGATGTCCTGTGTCTGCTGCTGCGTGCCGCGATCCCGGGTCTGTCGCACGGCGTCCGTACCCCGCTGCTGCGTCTTGCCTCCACTGCCCACGTTATCGTACAGAGATGTGCTAGAAGTTGCCGCCGTCACTTTGTCCCCCCGGGCGCCGGGCTCCGTCTCAGTTGCTCGCGTCTGAGCTCGGGGAAGCGTCGCAGAACCTGCGACATGGGCAACTGTAGCTGCGCCTCTACTGAATATTACACAAGCGTCATGCTGGATTAAAAACAGGCATGTAAGATGTGTCTGGCAACTAGCAGTAAGGTGATCTGTGTAGCGTCACCTTGCAATACGCCTGACATTTTGAATTACATCAGTGAGTCTCATTTCTGAAGAGGGGATACTGGGCACATTACATTACGTAGGGGTGCAATAATTCTTTGGCTTTTCCTATTTTACCTACTTTTATACTAATAATACTTTTATAATATCAAAATTAATTTTTTATATATGTCTGACCTAAATTTCATGATTGTAGCCTGATTATTTAATGTCTTTTGCAGATCTGAAATGAAAATGGCGCAAAACAACGGAGATTTTACTGCAAAAGACTGGCGGGCGGTGATGAAATATATTTTTTAAAAGGGAATTCGGCCAAAACGAATTACGATGATATGCTGGTTGCAGTAGGTGTTAAGTGGCCTTCCTACTCCACGGTCAATAACTGGGATGCTAGGTTTAGGACAGAACATTTGGGCACTGAAGACGAAGAACGTTCTGATAGACCAACTCACGTGACAATTCCGGAAACAGTTGCAACAGATTTCGAATACTCCGCTGCAAAGAATTCTAAAGGAAAAAGATAAAAATGCGAAATACCGACCTTCAGAGTCATTCGGAGTGACTTAGGGAGGTTCTTAATTTTGGTTGCAGAATTACGAAGAGTAAACACCTAAAGAAACAGCAGAAGTTGGAAAAGGGTTGTGAAGACTTTGATATTACTACAGAATATAATGACATTCATAACAGCATTCACATAGAGTTCTGTGTAGGATAATTATTTGGAGGATATCTATCAGTTCTACATCAATATTTTTCTTTCACTGGCTTTACAGCCTCCTTGTGCTCTGGCCTCTGATTTTCAGTCTCATAATCTTTATCAGGGCCCGGATTTTGATGACCTGAAAATATTTAAAAAATGACCTATAAAATGACCGAAAAAACAGAAAAATGACCTAAAATATGATCCAAAAAGTTAATATGCAGGGCCCTGAAATATTAAAAAAATGACCAATAAAATGGCCTAAAGGAGAAAAGAAAGAACACTTCGCTTCCATGTTATTCACATTTCAGAAAACATATCAAGAAAAATTCTCTAAAATGGCCAAAAATGACAAGGAATACCCTTAAAAGTCCAAAAAATTACCCCCAAAATGAAAAAATGATCCTAAACCTAAAAATGTCAAAAAATGACAAAATATTACCTAAAATTTACATTTCTGTAACCAGCTCATATCCGAGATTTATATATTTAAGAGCATCGCATAGGATACAAGAAAAAAAAGATGACATGTCATCAAAATCCGGACCCTGATCATTATGCAAACAGTAGGATTCCTTGGACAAGTGATCAGCTCGTCGCAAGGCCTCTACCTAAAGACAGGAAAAAACAAACACATAATAGGCACATACATATACCAAACATCCATGCCTTGTGTGGGATTCAAACCCACAAACCCGGCTTCCGAGCGAAGACAGTGCATGCCTTAGACCGGTCGGCTACCGTGATTGGCACATTCAACATTCCTAAAATTTAATTTACAACCCACACTCTTAAACACTTCAGAAAACTAAATTTCTCCTAGCCGTGGAAGTCAATGCAAAATTTTTTAATATTCTGGAGTCACTCTAAATGCAAATTCTCGCCATAATGTTTTCTAATTGAGAAAGCTAACGACAGTGGCATAATCACAAATAATAAACTACTATAATGACCAGAGAGTATCTAAGAACGAGATCTCCTGAAAACCTAGGCAAATAAAGGAGACACAAGATGCTAACTGGATTTAACTGGCACAACATGGGGCCCTATACTTGAGTTTTCAGAATGATGAACTGTAAAATTCGTTACAGAAAATCATTACCAGTTAAATTAAATATCAAATCCTCAACGAGACTTCCTATCATGGAGATGGTTATTATTACATGTACCCCTGCAGTTTACTGTTTAGGCTTAATGCAGTATCAATATGTCGGAGAAGTTGCCGTACATGCCGGGCGTTTCAGTTCTCGACGGCCTGCTGCAGCTACATAAGAAGACAACATTTAAGATGTACCTGAACCGAGTTTGTGTCAATCGAAATATCTGTGCCCTTTAAGCATCGCGCTGGTTTAATGACGTGTTTTAGTCCTAACAAGTTCAGTCTATGCACGAAGACAGCCAATCAGTATGGAGACTCTCCTGCTGGCTCGAGAACCGAGGAATCTGAGTTCGATTTCCGGCAGGGACAAGAGATTTTTCTCTTCTACACATTACCCAGACGACCCCTAGGGTGCCGAATCAGCTTTCTAGCCAGTCGATACAGAGAATTTTCCTGGGGGTGTTGCGACTAATTACTCACCTTCATCTAATGTTGAGGTTTAGAATGTGAGAAGCTATACCTCCAATCCCCTATTCGCCTTCATATCGTAGTGCTTAAATAACACAGGATAACTTTGCTTCTATGTTTTCATATAAAGTTAGTAAGTAAAGGTATCCCTGTAACGGGCCATGGAGGCCCATAGGGTTGTGAGATGTTGAGGTACACACATTTTCTAGACAATCGGCCCATAGATGGCGATAAGGTTGTCAGCCCTACGCCCCGGTCGCCCTTTACCCCCAAGAACTTTCCAACTATATTCCTAGTACCCCAGGGCTATAGTGCGGCTGAAAGGATTAAGTAAATTGAAAAAATCCAATGACCTCATCGGGATTCGATCCCGCGACCTTCCGGATTGTAGCATAGTGCCTTAACCAACTACGCTACCGCATATATTTGTGATTTATTTAATGATGTCAATATTTCAGACTATGCAGCGCATACGAATAGGGTTATTCGCATAACAGTAGGAACCTGAGCCACTCTGCCTCAATTTGAGGTATTATCGCGTAATTTTCTTATACGGATAGAAAAAGACTATTAAAGGTGTATATTTAAGGACAATGTTTTCTTCGAGTACTTCAGTTTCCCCTGCCAGTCTTCATTCCACCAGTTGCTCCACAGTCACCCTCACCTATCATCTGGGGCTGGTACAATAGGTCAGAAGTGGCCGCAGTACAAGGGACTCCGTCTCACTATTAAAAAAGTATTTCGGTTCTGATATTTGAATTCGGGTCCTACCGAATACGAGGCAGAAGTAGCAGCAGGTGACCCACTGAAGAGAGTTCTCTAATCAAGTTGCTGAGAAAATGAAGTGGAGCGACCGACATTCGGGTTAATCGTGCGTTGTTCAGGAACTAAGAGCACAGACAGAAGAGGATAGCCCACGTGACCAGTGGCGCGGGTAGAGTCTAGAAAGCTGACTGGAACATTCACTTTGTATCAACGTACATATTCCGGTTCAGTCAGGTAGTCGTCGGCTTCTCGCCGCGGAGTTCAGGTTTCAGTCCCAGGACAGTATATATGGAATTTGGGAGTGAAAAGATGGTACTGAGACAAGTTCTTCTCCGTGCACTTCGGTTTTCCCCTGCCAGTTATCTTTTCACCATTGCTTTATACCCATACACCAGGAGCTGGTACTAGGTCCAGTCGAGGCCTCCGTGTCAAGGGGCCAATAATAATAATTCAAACCATTTATCAGAGAAACGGCCAGGATAGCTCAGTCGATATAGTTACAGGCTACGTGCTGGACGGTCAGGGTTCGATTCCTGTTAAGGGAAAGGAATTTATCTGTATTCCACAGCGTCCAATTTCTCGAAAGAGCTGTTACAGGACATTATTTCACGACCATATAATTAAATGGGTCCAGTGAACCAACTCAGAAGTTTGTGCGACCACCAACTTCTTATTGTTTGTGTGTTACTTAACGATGGTTTCATTGACTGTGTTATATACCGCCGGATAGTGGCGTGACAGATGAATGATAAATTATAAAGCATTAGGAAGGAAGCGGCCATGGCCTACTCGAGATACTATCGCAGCATTTGCTTGGAGGGACTGAAGAAAACACGAGAAACCTCAACATTATGACCTGTGTCCCGGACAGAATTCAAACCGAGCACCCACCGAGCACAAGTCTGGAGGGTTACAACTGGAAGAAACTGTTCGAAAGGACTCCAATACCAGACGTTGATACCAAATTTTGTTAAGATCGGTCAATTGCTTAAGAAGGTTAAAGGAAACACAGGACAGACAACATAGCTCTTACCTTTGTAGCGGGGATCCTGCGCGCGCAGACGTGCGTACTGCTCTGCTGTCATGCATGTGCACTGGGGCTCGCGGCTTCGGCTTGGTGACGCAGGCGTCGAGAGCGGCTTCCTCTTCGCTTTCATCTTCTGCTTGTTCGGCGGCTCCAGCTTCAGCGAATATGACGACGACGCCTTCCGCGAGAATTTGAAAGACGGTGACTAGAACAAACCATATGAGGCTTGAGGTTCTCACATCGGCGGACGACTATGAGATGTGACGCCGTGAAGTCTGATAGAAGATCGCCGACATTTAGGAGGAATATACTGACTCCATTCTCACGGTTGAATTATGAACCAAGTAATCTACCGGGAAAATACTGCGAGCAAACAATTCTCTTCCTATCTCTGCCTGCTAGTTGTTTCCTCGTCTTACATTCCACCCATGAAGACAGAGTCAGTGTCGTCCTCAGAGATGTCGGCGAAACTTTACCCAAGTACAAGAAATCACATCGCGATAAATGGTATTCTTCAAACCACACGAGGTTTGAGGTTTCCACGGCAGCGACTATGAAGATTGTTCTCTTCTTGAATGCGACGCCTTTTAGTTTAATAGACTGATAATGTTTCGGAGGAATTTTCTGCCTACATTTTCAGTATGTAAGGAAAGTTAGGAATATGAGAAAGGGAGAGGCGTGATCGGAGTTATGATAAAATCCACAGGAACTAGCAGCCGTTACAAGGGTTGTTATGTCTGGGTATGTGCTAAAGCGGAGAAATGAAGAAGCAGTGTATGATGGGAAATGGGTAACAGGAAAATGTAGAAAATAATTTGTGTTATTATTTTGTTACCTGGAGATAAGCAAAGAAGTCAAATTCTAAATAAGGACCAAGGTTATAACAAACGTGTTTGACGGCCGGTCCAGTCACTCACACCAGAGATAGTGATTTCCCAGAATTACTGGGTTCTCGGAATTTTTTCATCGTCTAGTATTAAAAAGTAGAGAACACAACGTTTCGGAAACTGGATTTGTTTCCGTCCTCAGGTGAGGTGGGGGGAGACACCTACTTTGTTGGGTCCCTTACGAAGAGCTAAACCTCAATTACTGCCGGTCACGGTAGTCGAGCGGTCTAAGGCATGCACTGTCTTCGTTCGCTCGGAAACCGAGATCGTGGGTTCGAATCCCACTCAGGGCATGGATGTTTGTGTGCGTTTTTCTCTGTCTATCTACAGGTAGACGCCTTGCGACGGGCTGATCACTCGCCCAAGGAGTCCTACCGTATGTGTAAGATCTAGTAAACCGAAGTGAAACGGAGAGTTTCATGGAGGTAGGCCTAGGCCCAAATTGGGGCTGTAGCGCCACAGGAAAAAGAAAACCTCAATTACTGGCAGGAGTAGGGGTAAACCTGGTATCTTCCCTCCACCTCTGGATTTAAAAAAATCAAAGTGGAATAAAGGAAGAAAAAATACCATATATTAATAAAGAAAACTGAGATTAATATTAAAAGTAGCACCATCTATGTTTCAATACAGAGTTTTACAATTCCAGTGAGAACCTTAAAACACTTAAACATAAGTTTGTAACAAATTCTCTCGCTACAGCCTCCCGAAAAATATTCTGTCACTGTTCATAATTGTAACGGACATTTTGAGGTGTCTGTGGGTCGATAATTGTACTTCTTATTTCGAACTATTTTTCATTGTACGCCATTGGAATTCGGGGTTGATATCGACTTGAGTGACATCTTTAGGAAGAAAGATTGCAAGCTCTTACGTCAGTGCTCTTTCCTGCCTAATCCCAAGCGGAAGGTTGTGCCGCTGGTCGCGTGTGGTTGTGTGTGTGCGCCAGTCCGCTCTGCGTAGTGAGATCCAAATTGAATGGGGCAGATCAGTGTCCAACATCTTACGTTGCAGCTGCTACTTACGTTGTGAGTACATATAATTTATATTAATTTGCATTATAATTAACCCAGAATTACTGGGCTTTTGGACTTTATATCCATCATCCGGTATCCAAAAATATTTAGAACGTGACGTTTCGGAAACAGATCCAGTTTCCGAAACGTCGTTCTATTTAGAATACCGGACGATGGGCAAAATCCAAAACCCCAGGAATTCTGAGTTTTATACACCATCGTCAGAACCCTTTAGGATCTTCTTGCATTAAAATTATTCGGACATAAATTTTGACTTGTTTGCTTCTTAACTGAAAATATTAATTTGTCATCTTCCGATGTTTAAAACACGTTAAGAAGAAACGTAATCGTCAGCGTTACTGTCGTCCACTGAAATTTAACGTAATACTTTTCAATTTGAATTGGATATCATAAACCATATCTTGATAACTCAATTAATGTGTTATGGCACGTGTAGATGGATACAACGTCATTCCACACGCCAACAAAATCCGACATATTAAAACCTGTATCGGTCTGAAAGTATTTTTTTTATTGCTAGTGGGGTGGGACTAAGTCCCTTGTACTGCGGCCACTTCTGGCCTATTGTACGAGCCCCAGATGAGAGGTGAGGGTGATTGTGGAGCAATTGGTGGAATGAAGATTGGCAGGAGAAACCGAAGTACTCGGAGAAAACCTTTTCCCAGCGCCACTCTGTCCACCACAAATCCCACTTGACCAGACCCGGGATCGAACCCTGGGCGCCGCGGTGGGAAGCCAGCGACTAACCGCTTGAGCTATGGCGCGGCCCGGTCTGAAAATAACTCTGTAATATATTCAATCAAAGTTCGTTTCACGCTGGTTCATCGCTCACGGATTTTTTTTATACCCTGAAGATGGAGTCGATACGTTCCTCCGAAACGTCGGTTAACAAAATATCTACACGGCGCCATATCCCAGAAGACGACATTCTTCAAAATTTGTTTAGCATCAAAGTCCGTTGATACTGTTTCCCCATGTATATCGGTGTTGGGAAGCAAAGGTTTCGATTTATGTTAACATTTTTGTTGGCAACTTATACATATGGATAATAGAAGTCCCTCGTCTACTAACATGTCTGTTAACTGTCTGTGTAGACAGAGTTCTTTCTTCTGTTTATGGGTCTCTGTTGTTTCCTATGCACGGCCGGCACATCTAACTTCACGTGAAATGTACACCCATATGCACCTGCTGTCAACTTATGTCACTTACGCACGCAGTTTTTAAGAAGCGCTTCTTTCAATTCCAGTACTGAACACGTGTACATATACACACGTGCGCGCAGGTACGTTTTGGGTTGCATCTTGGTTGAATGTGTCAGGATACTATAACTCAGTTCTGGTAAATGAAAAGTTTGATTTTTCCAAGAAGCAGACTTCCTTCACATTACTGTATCTGAAACTGTGGTCCGCAGTTCGGTAACGGCTCGTGAAGGAGAGTAAAGAAAATGTTTATGAATGGATGTGCATATTTCGGAATATCACAGTTACGTTTAGATCATATGAATGATTAGATTATTAACTGTACTAACTTCATGGAGCTGAGCCCTTCTTGAGAAGCCGCCAGTTATGCACCTACTCAAAAATTTTCCAGAATTTTATAGAACCTGGAAGTTCATTACCGTGTTCACGCGATCCCTCCAGTGGTTCCTATCCTGAGCCAGATTAATCCAGTACATAGCACCCAACCTCTCTCTCTAGGATCTATTTTAATATTATCTGCCTGCCTACGTCTTGGTCTTCATAGTGTTATCCATTTCACATTGTCGCCAACTTATACTTTTAATGCTAGATTCCCTTATCTGCCTCGGTTTTATATATCCAGCGTTTGAAGAGTTTCTATATACGAACATAAACGAACACTGTGTTTCCCCATTTGAAAGTATGTGGCCGAACATGACAGTCATAAGGCGAGGGAGTGTGTCAAGGCGCGTCCACATTACTCGTGCTCGTGCTAGTGCTCGTGCTCGTGCTCGTGTGACTCGATATGCTCGCGAGTAATGTGGAAGATATAACAAGTCACGAGAGAAGCAAATTTTTAATTTTTAATTTAAAAACTATAGCCAATAAATTAAAATACGACTACAGCCTATACACACTACGAGTAAATATACAGATCCTCACGCGCCGAAACCTGGCGAGCAACTGAAGTAGTGTGGATGAAGATTTACGAGCACAAGTAAAAGCCAGACGAGCCTCACGACGAGCACAAGCCTGGCGAGCACGAGCTCGAGTAATGTGGACGCGCCTTCACGAAGTTCTGTGCTTCAATTTGACGTGAACAAAACTATTTATACCACGTATTTTAGAAGAGGTATTCAGTGATTTCATCAGTCTTCATGGCCATAACTATTTAAGGATCTCGGCGGAATTGTACCCATCCGAGGCCGGACTTCGATCCTGGGATCAAGTGAAGAGCAACGCGCAGACAGCTAAGGTTAAAACCAAAACAGTGCCGTGCGGAACCCTTAGCGGTTGAGGGCCCATCCGCAGGAGGATGGTTTGGGTACTTGCAGTAAATCAGGTACTTTATAGCATCGACACGGTCTTATCATGTTCAGTCCGGCTCCAGGCTGGTCATGGTAACAACATAGCACCGTGCCAGGCAACTCTGTGTTTTCTGGCGGTAGCCGCCATGACTCAAGGCTTAGGTTAAGGTCAAGTTGGACACTCTACAATGTTATATTTTTATTTTAGGTATTATTGTGAGATATTTGCAGTCGGCCCTCCCCCTTAGGTGTCCCAAGATAGGATTTCTGGCTAGGCGGTGTGTATTTATCTTATGTGTCCAGCTTAGCCCTTGTTGGCGCATTGGACGTTAAATTAGGAGGGTTCAGTTTTACGTATTTCTGCGTGTGTGTATGCGACAGGGTGACAAATTGACGGGTTCTGTCGGCACGGCAATGAAATCGGTTCGAGGGCGAAGGAGAGGAACAGAATTTGCAGTCTTTCTCTGTGAATATCTCGCATTGGAGGGGCTCTCTGAACAAGACACAAAGCGCAACGGTTCCTTAATCGGTCTTTCACGTCGGCAGTGAAAGACAGATGGCCTGGGTTTGTAAGGACTCAAGTAACTACACAATAAATTGCTTTCGGTTAAAATGCGGCGAATTAATGTCATGCTGTTGACAGAATATATTGTGTGTACTGTATACAAATTTAATTCACGCTTAATAAATACTTGACCGCCTCTGTAGTCTAGTGGTCACAGTTCCTGGCTACAGATCCAGAGGTCCTGGGTTCGACTCCCGGCGCTACCAGATTTTCTGAGAAGTAGTGGGTCTGGAACGGGGTCCACTCAGCTCGTGAGGATAATTGAGGAACTGTTTCAAGGAAATAGCAACTTCGGTCTAGAGAACCGAGAGTAATGGGGATCCGTTGCGCTGACCACGCGACACCCTCTATCCGCAAAAGTTGGCACTAACTTCTCCGACAAGCGGCGGTCGCTCGGTCGGTATAGTTGGCTTGCGGACTAAGGGCCACGGAGTTTAAGAAATACTTAGCCAAATATTGGTACTTCTTTTTGAATGAAAGGGTATGTTGAACAAATGAATATAGAGTTTAATTGAATTTATTAGAAATCGATAGGTCTGTCACTGGCCACCATGCTCCGGGGCATGAAAGTTATTATGACGAATTTAAACTATTCTTGATCTATTTAGGGTTGAATACTTTAGTCTCCCTCTGCGTCTACACTTCAATTTCTATAGCCATTCCCACTGCTACAATTTTCCGATTCGAACGAAACCTATTTTTGAAACGACAATATAAATACACAATTTCCAGCATAGGCATCAGGGTGGGAGGAAAACGTTTAGTACGCAACACGAGCTACATGCAAACAGTGATCGCCACAAACATATCCTATCTCCCCTCCACTCCCTTAAACCCTGAAGGCAAGCAGAGGAGCTACGGTGGCTCAGCCACGCTGCTGCATTATGATTTGATTTCCATATTGAAGGAAATGTCATCGGGAAGCAATAGATTTGCAATGAGCCCTCAAGAAGAATACAACGAATTTCATTCAACGTGTAACCGGAACTGGATGCGAACATGGTAATTCTGACTTTCATTGCGCCCCATTTTCTTTAAAATTTTCTTATTTCCATTGCGTTGACTTTTCTTCGAAACGTTTGCAATTTTAATGAACAAATCAGAGAAGGTAGACCCTCTACGAGCAGGAATGTTTGTGTACGGCGTCGCGTATTGAGTCAAGAATTTTATATTTAAATTCGGCTCTGTATAAGAAGTAAAATCAGCGTGGATTGCAAGATGATGAAAAGCAGAGGTAAGTTTCCTCTCTTTACTTCTTGCTGCTTTTTTTTATGAAATTTCTTGTTTTGTGTTTTGTTTTGTGTTTTGTTTTGTGTGCTTTCAGTTCCCCGCTCATATCCTGTGTCTCAACGTGGCGAGCGGGTGAAACAAAGAACGGTGCATCCCCAAAATATTAGCTTCGTTGCGTCAACCGTTCATTTTATGTATTCCGTGTAACTTTTTATTAAAATCTAGAAGCAATTTGGTTCGTGTCCTTTTTATATTCTGTTCTAAATTTTAACAATTTTTTTAAACAACACCTTGGAAAGAGACTAATTATAATAATTTCTAAATGTTTTAACAAAGTCGTGCTCATCGTAGTAATTGTTACAGAATAATATATTATATCTATGACATTGTAATATTAGTTTCTGTAAGTACCGAAAGTGTCCTCCTGAAGATGGTCGCTACGGCCGAAACGTGTAAAGGATGAAAGATAAAAGAAACCACAACATTTATCAATCACCTGACGACATTAATAATCTTTTATACTAACAGACTCTCTTTTGACAAGATTTGTGCTACTGTAATAGTGAATATGTGATTGTAGGAATTAAAAATCCGAAAGAGTAAGATTGCATAATGGACGTGGTTTATCTTTTGTTTTTATTCCATTTTTTAATATATGAATTGAAAAAATTAAGAAATTTCATTGTTTCATTTCATAAAATAAACAAACCGTCAGTAGGCTTGTACGGAAGGTAAATTTTGACAACTGGCGTCAACACGTTTTAAATATTAGGACGAGAATATATGCTACATTTCGTGCCGGTGAGAATGTGTGCAAATGGTTCGTTTCCTCTAAGCATATTTATATGCTTGTGCACCTAATATCTCGAAACGAGGTTATGGGAATGCACTGTTCCTTGGCCAAACAGGATACGGTTATTGCAAATCAAAATCCCTCTTTCACAGATTTACCCAAAAAAAGAAAACAGGCGTCTGTCCCCAATCCAGATTTCAAACGAAATCATTATTGAAGGAAAGAATATATGAGATATTAATAATAAAACTATTTAACATTATTCTTATATTGTGAATGATCTGGGGCGATCAGTACAAATAATTAATAAGTGACATAAACTTAAGTTTGAAAAAAAAATTCTAGCTGTTCCCTCTCTTGAAAACTGGATGTCTCCCTGAAGAATATTTGTACAGCACCCATACTAGATTCCAAACTCTGTACGGGAAGGCCAAAACTGAGATGGATGGAAGATTCAGAACATGATTTACCGGAGCTGAAAATGAATATGTGGAGGAAAAAGAAATATGTGTTTTGGCAATAAAGTTCTGGACTGGTGCTCCAGTGTTCACGTTAGATAGTACTTACTTACTTACGTATGGAGCTGAGCCCTTCTTGAGAAGCAGCCAATTCTGCAGCTACTCAAGAATTTGCCAGGATTGTATTAAACCCGAAGGTTCATCTCTGTGTTCACAAGAGCCCTCCACTGGTACCTATCTTGATCCGGATCAATCCAATCCATAGCATCCCATCCTATCCCTCTAAGATCCATTTTAATATTTTCCACCCACCTACGCCTTGGTCTTCCCAGTGGGCTCTTTCCTTCTGGCATAGCCACCAATATCCTGTATGCGTTTCTATTTTCCCCCGTTCGTATTCACATTAGGTACTGGTGACGGGAACTACTGCAATGTGAGCAGTAGGGGGTCAGCAAGACCAGTCACTGACAGTTCATGAGGAGCAGCTCAGTGAGTTGCGTTTTTACCGGTTGTCAAATTGTGTGTTGAACTGAGTAAAACTCCAACAGAAACTTATGAAATGTGCGTATCTCTCTATGGTGATCAAACCATGAGTCGTTGCAGCGTATTTCAATGTATCGAACGATTTAAAGACAGGCGTCAGGGTCTTCAGAACGAATGATCCAAAAAGCGGGCGTTCTTTAATCTCTCGAAATGTAGACACAACCGCAAACGTCCCTGTCTCAGAACGATGTCGGATGAATCAAACGTCAGTAAGGAGACAATTCGTGAAATCCTCCGTGAATATCTACAGAAGAAGAAGAAGAAGAAGAAGAAGAAGAAGAAGTAGTAGTTGTGAGCGAAATTCGTCCCACAGAGAGACACGGACGAGCAGAAGAAACGGAAACTCGCTTCATCCAGACTTGTCAAGAAAATCCCAGTTTCCTTGATTGCATTGCAACTGGGGACGAGTCATGGGTATGTCAATATAAACCAGAGAAGAAACTTCGGAACATGAAATGGAGCTCAAAGTGATCACCAAGGCCCAAAATGTTTCGTTTTCGAAAGTCCAGGCTCAAAACCAAGCTGTTCACATTCTTTGACAGAGAATTTGTGCCTGAAGGGCAGGCAGACAATAGTGCTTTCTACGTTGAGGTTATCAGGAGGTGAGGCCTCAATTTTGAGCAGAGGGCAGTTGGTTCTTTTTGCACGACAATGCCCCACCCGATTGGCAATGGTCGTGAAGACATCTCTGCCCAAACACCGTGCAGTGGATAAAAGCCACCCACGCCATTCTCCTCTTCTCGCACCAATGGATTCTTTTTATCTTTTCTACGGTGAGAAGCGCCCTCAAAATAAAGAAGGTTCAGGATATTGAAGATATTAAGAAAAACGTGACGGCAGAACTGAAAGCTATTTCTTTATAGGGACCTTTGCTAGCTGTTTTCAAAGCCTTTCTGAGCGGTTCAACAATGTATTCAAGTGGGTGGAGATTATTTTTAATATAAATAAAAAAGTCTTTATTTTTTTTGATTTTTTATTTCCTTTTTTCACACCACGTATAATAGAGAAGAACGAACATCTGTTGTCAATAATGATAAAGATCTGAAAGGAGTGTAGAGACGAGCAACAAATGTGTAAGTATACCGTGCTCTTCCCAATACCGTGAGACCAAGTTTTACACCCAGGTAGAAAGAAAACAGTTAAATTAAAATTTTGTATAGTTAAGTATTTCGGTGTTCAGTTAGAAAGGATGAAGGACTGGACTGAAAGTTAGTAATCATTTTCAGAATATCTTAAGCAAGAGGACGTGTTATCTTGATATATCGACAGTTAACAACAACAGCATATAGATATGCAATACTTACGCAACATTCCCTAAATTGTTTGGCATCTATTGGTGATGTGAAGTTAAGACCCCATGTGTCATTGGTCATTGGGTCTTTCCAGTACACGAAACATTCCGACGCTTGACCAATCCGTGTTCCTGTAACAAGAATGATAATGAGAACTTTCTTTTAAGTCTGATTTTGGTTCATCCTGGTCCGTCACACTAGATTTTATATTCATTGCATTGTAACGATATTGTATGTATGTATGTATGTATGTATGTACTGATATTGACCAATCACAATGCAATAGTAGTTTCCGCCCGTATTGACATATCCTTCTGAAGATGGTCTCTCAGACCGAAACTTGTCAAGGAGGAAAGATTAAAGAGGAGTTAAACATTTTTCAACCACACTGGACGGAGTTTATAGCCTTTTTATATTTCTTTAAAGTTATTTTACACGTATTCAAATAGTGACGATATATTTCTCTAGGTATGACACCGTATGATCTGGTAGATACCTACCAGCGCTTACGAAACTCTAAGTAAGGAAACAGTGGTTCAAGAACCACCAATCTTTGCCTCTCAGAATTAAGGGCGGCCGCACACCAACTGCTCCAAGAAAAGCATCAAGACATGAGACAAAAGAAACACTCTTGCTTCATTCGTGATTCAGACTCGAGTCCGCATACCGAAGTAGCGTACACTGGTGCTGCTCCTTGAGTACTGATGTCTGAGTCTTGACGCTCAGAAAAGGAACATGCCGAGTCTTGCTGCACGTGTCTGCAGCATGAAGCTGACGTCAGCATCATGACTCAGACCGGTGTGCGGCGGTTTTCATAATCTCGTTCGTTTCAACTGTATTCCTTTCTTTGCGTCATGTCGCAGACGTCATGTCTTGACGCTTGCCGATGTGCCGCCTACCTAACAGTGCACTCTTTAATTACTCTGCATCTCCTAACTTTGCTCTGCCTCCTATTTATTCACTGAGCATCGAGAATTCTCCCTTGTAATGTTCAAAGTTTCAGCGCTGTTAGCTTTAATCTGCGTTTGCTACGTGATTCACGTGTATTTGCACGCGCACAATCGACTCCATGATGAAGGAGGGTTTACTGTACTTGTGTTCCTGATATCAGGCTGAGACTACACATTACCTGGCTGCACGAGTCGAACATCCAGTATTTTGTCGACCTGGCTGTTGTAGGCAGTGATGTGGAACACGCACTCTGGGGAATCCTGGATGCACGTGATGTTGACCGGGACCAGGTCCTCTGACACCTGCTGCCACTTCACCGTGCCGGCTCCGCTCGCACTCACGTGGAACACTTCGGCCCAAAGCCTGCGCACAGTGACGTCAAGTCACAGAAACCACGGGTCTCACGCACACAGCGCCGACAGCTATTCATCTCGGTAACAAATTCGCTGCATTTTGCGGTATCCGAAGTTTCCTTACCGTGTTCACAAAGCCCCGTCACTGGTTCCTATCCTGAGCCAGACGAACCGAAATCCTTCAACCCGTATACAGTGGTACCCAGCTGGTCGGCTCCAGATTTGACGCTTCTTCATGTATTCGAGAGATGCGCTGTTCGAATCTCGGTTAGAACACTGACTGATTGACTAACTGAGGTTCTATGTGATTTTCCTTAGTCCCTCCAAGCGAATGTTTGGGTAGCGACTTGAAATAATTAACGGCCGCTTCACTCCATGAAAAAATAAGTAACAGACCATGGGGGCCCATAGGGTTGTGAGACATCGAGGTTCCCACATTTTCTTTAGAAAATCGGCTCACAGATGGTGGTGAGGTTGTCGGCCTTACGCACCGGCTGCCCTTTACCCCCAGGAACATTCCTGGTACTCATCTCTGTTAGAGGCTGAGTCGACCCCAGGGCCATAGTGCGGCTGGAAGTATTTGGTCAATTGAAAAAAAATCCAATGACCTCATCGGGACTTGAACCCGCGACCTTCCGGCTTGTAGCATAGTGCCTCAACCAACGACGCTACGGCGTGCCTCCGCTCCATATCGTTCGAAATTTATTCAGTCATTAATTAACTTACCATTCGAGGCTGGGGGCACGCGGTAGCGTCGTTGGTTGAGGAACTACGCTACAAGCTGGAAGGTCGTGGGTTCCAGTCCGGATGAGGTGGAATTTTTTAATTTACCTAATCATTCGAGCCGCACTATGGCCCTGGGGTCGACTCAGACTCTAACCGGCCAGCCGGCACGTAAGGCTGACAATCTTACCGCCATCTGTGAACTGATTGTCTAGAAATTGTGGGAGCCTCGACGCCTTACAACCCTATGGGCTTCCACGGCCTGTTACAGGGGCAGCTTTACCTTGACCATTCGAGTCCATATAATCTGAGCTACGGTCATCATTGGTAAATAAATCGTAAAATAATTAAAATATGAAGTACAGTGGTTACCGTCTGCTTAAGCTTTAGAAACCCTACATTTTGTTGACACACTGGACTATGTATGTATACTAAAATCGGTTAATCTTGCTTAAGGAAATAATCGCTGTGTATTCTTCCGCGAATCTTGTCTTTTTCTCAAGACTTTAAACGTTGTGCTGGAATATATGAGATATCCTCAAGTGCGTAGGCAAGATAATACAGAAATGATATCTAACTTTTGGAAATTATATTCATTAAACGAAAGATTATAAACAGATAGAAGACTGAGGCGTAGACTGAAGGATAATATTAAAAGAGATCTAAAAGAAATAAATGGAATGTTTTAAATTTATTTGTCTAAGAGGAGGAGTAAGTGTTGGACTCTTGTGATCACGGTAATTAAACTTCTTGTTCCACAAATGCAGAGCACTTCTTGAACGGATAAGAAACTACTAAGTTTTCATAAATCCTGACGTAGGATTAAATCAGAATGTATTAATCCCGTGTTGATGAACCAACTCCATGGTAAATAAGACCTAAAGATGTGTGACGACGGTACATCAGTACAAATATTATGTTTCTGGACATTACCCATCGTCTTGTCTTTATCTAAAAACACTTTACTCTTTATATTAACAAAACACAACGTTTCGGAGACTGGATTCTCTCTCCATCTTCAAGTAAAACCTACTCAATTGGGACCAATCGATAGAGCTAGCCCCTATCTCCGGAGGTAGGCCCCAACTGAGTAGGTTTTACCTGAAGACGGAGACAGAATCCAGTCTCCGAAACGTTGTGTTTTGAAAAATAAACAGGACTGTTTTTACTTAAAGACAAGGCGATTGACAATGTCCAAAAACATAACATTTGTACAAACTCCATGGTGCTGAACTAAAGAATATTTCATTTTTGGTTCGAGGTATATTTAATACTCTTGTCAATAGGGATATGGACGCCTTACCTGAGCAAGTGGCCGTCTCGACGCCGGGACGTCTGCCATGGCGAGTCCTCGTACCGGTAGGCCTTGCGAATGAGCGGCGCGCAAGAACAGCTTAGCTTGTTTCCCATCGCGTCCTGTCACCACATCCCTGGGGCCTGCAATACAGTCACACCCTGCTAGGGACACTGAGCTCCGTGTGTTCCAGTTATGGAAACCGGATTTAAACTTAAGGAGATTTACAAAGAAGTCAGCATTAACTTCGCTGTTCTCTCGCCACGAAGTGTATCAGTTTGTTCATCATCCTTGGGTGCTTCTATGAATATAATTTATCAGACCACAACTAAATTCCATCCATTTTCATAATTCAAATGCGTCTTTTACAAATATCTCACTTATACAATATTAACATTTAAAATCGTTTAACAAGGTTAGGGACATCGTTGATTATTAAGAACCATAGGAATCGCTGATTATATACCACTGTAGCATATTGAGCTTGCAGTTTCTTTGTGCTTCGGGGGTGTGTCTGTAAAATAACATGTTGTCTTTGTGTGTAGCTTATTATATTTGTGAGATTGTTATGTAAAGGCCGCGCCATAGCCCAAGCGGTTAGTCGCTGGCTTCCCACAGCGGCGGTCCGGGTTCGATCCCGGGTCTGGTAAAGTGGGATTTGTGGTGGACAAAGTGGCGCTGGGGCAGGTTTTCTTCGAGTACTTCGGTTTCCCTTGCCAATCTTCATTCCACCAATTGCTCCACGATCACTCTCACCTATCATCTGGGGCTGGTACAATAGGCCAGAAGTGGCCGCAGTACAAGGGACTTAGTCCCACCCCACTAGCAATAATATTAAAAACAAATTTTTATGTATACTTATCATTTTATTAATCTTATTAACTTTATACCCATTGGTGCATAAACGTATCTTTATATATTAATTGTTACTTCATTAAACTTGCACCGCCTTGTAGTTCTGTTGTATTTGAGAAGAGGATTCTTTACTGCCTTCCTGTACGTGTTCGCGGCCCCCTTCAGGAGAATAAAAGGGCACGAACCAACTTGGTTTACGATTTCCAACAAAATTTTAACAAATTAATTATAAATAATTTAACATATTAAAACAGCCGCTGTAGTTTCATACTCATTCTATTTTGTCAGCACTGTATGTATATATCTTGGCATTCAAACACATATTGCAATAGTGGCTTGATGTCCCTCTGAGGATGGTCTGCAAAGACCGAAACATGTAAGGGATGAAAGGTTGAAATAAGAAAAATCTTTACTAGTCACGCTGAACGGAGCTGCTTAACCTCTTATGAAAATGACAAAATAATTTCCTACAGGAGTTTTATGTAGAATAAATTGAGTGCAGTTACGTAACTAATTATGTTATTTAGGTTCAGCATATGTAGCTACTTTGCTGCGTATTTCCTTCTCTGTTCGAGGATAACTAATTATAATGGCGTTTTGCGATTGAGTGGCCAACTGCGGTGTCACGTGACTTAACAGGGACAGCTCACAGAAAATTAAAAAGTCGAACCGGTTAATGCTGTTAATGCCGCCGCGATGTGAAGCCAGCGACTAACCACTTGAGCTATGGCGCGGCCTAATAAGTAGGCAAAATGTAGATTTCTCTTAAATGTTGGAGTAGATAATACACGTAGTAACCACAGTGGTTTAAAGGTCCGAGCGTTAGTAATGTTTCAATTGCACAAAAGAATAAGTGAACATTAAGTAAAGCTATCCCTGTAACAGGCCGTGGAGGCCCATAAGGTTGTGAGACGTCGAGGCTCCCACATTTTCTCTCGACATTCGGCTCACAGATTGCGGTGATGTTGTCAGCCTTAAGCGCCAGCCGCCTTTTTAGCCCCACGAATATTCCTGGTACACATTTGTGTTAGAGGCTGAGACGACCCCAGGGCCATAGTGCGGATGGAAGGATTAGGTCAGTTTATCTAAGTGAACATAAGAAACAAAGAAATTACGAAAACTACGAGTAAGTAACGGGAAATAACGGACTGAGTTGATGTAGCGGTAACGAATCTCGGACGAGACACTGTCGAGGCTGATTGGAAGTTTCCATGGTTTCCTTCAGTTTCTCCGGTCAGATTCTGGGGGAGTGCTTTGACTAGGTTTCAACGTTTCCACACACCATTATTCGCCAACCCTCCCACTCTTCGACGCTATATGATAAAGGATACAGAGAGCGTCCCAAAGTAAACAACAAAAATTATATAATTAATAGGAGAACGATAATAGAAGTTGCGAAAGGTCTATAAATAAACTCCGCAGCCCTTGCAAACGACAGCTATAACGCCCCCACACCGTGACACGTACCTAGCCCCCAGGTCGCTTAGTGTAATCTTAAGGAACACTGTATGATTGCAATGCTTCCTGATACACGGTTTTTTCTCCCATTATAGACAGGCGCGGCCCGATCAATAGGTACTCCACAGCAGCCCGCGAGATGGCAGCAGTGGTGCGCCCTCATTGATTTTGTGTCTGTAAGGGTGTGGGCTTCCTATACGATTCCTGAACGAGGTTTCCTGTATACAGGAGGTGATGCTAGAGAATTACCCCAAGTTAATCTCAGGTTTACAAAGTTCGGTCATGCCGGGTAGAGGCTAAATTATAGAGCTAATTTTGTGCCAGAAGAACGTTCTTATCTGGTCCGACGATACATTTACACACACAAAAGGTAAAGGTAAATTTGTCCCTGTGCTTAACTAATTAAGCACTACGCCATATAGGCGTATGGGGAGTGGATATATAGATCCACATTTTCTTCACTATTTAGAGGTGGTCAACTTCACGTTTCGGCCGCTTTACCCCCGAGGAAAGAACCCAAGGTACCCATCTGATAGAAGGCTGGGTGGAACCCAGAGCCAGTGTGAACTACGTGGAGAAAAGAAAATTTCTTGACCCTACCGGGACTCGAATTCCGACCCCTCGGTCGTCCAGTCCGTAGCCCATTGCTATACCGATTACGCTATCCCGAGCTCGTGCGTGTGTGTATATATAAGACTAGTTATTATAAATTAGAGTCGATATAGCGACGACCTATGGGCTGGACCTCCCGGGTTCTATTCCGGTAGTGACAAAATTTTTCTCTCCTCCACAGCGTCCAAACCGGCTTTGGGGCCCCCCCAGCCTCCCATCTAATTTGTACCGTGTGCTCTTCGCCTGGGGGTAAAGCGGCTGGGGCGAGAAGCTGACCTCTCACTCCACGTAGTGCCGAGGTTAAGCACAATGGAACTATACCTCCACTCCCCCACATGCCGTCATGTCACAGTGTTGAAGTAATTAAGCTCAAGCACAACTTTACATTTCTTTACATTTCAGTTATCATACAGCTCTTCATACACGAGGCTCGATCGAGAACTCGTACTTTACGAGTCTGATTATGGAGATTATTCTCTCGTGGGACATTGCGCCGTGTAACCTGCTACCTCCATTTTCACGGTATAAATGTAAGTCGCTTAGAGAACAAGACTGCTTATTTTATACTGAGTATTTGAGAAGACACTGACCGCATAGAAAACACTGCATCCTTCTATTGTTACGAGTGTATTCATTGCAGTTGGAACATGCTCACCGCGCCGTTGCCTAACAACGGCCGTCTTAATTATTAGGAATTTGAGAAGTCATGTCACGTTACATTAAAAAATTACTGGAGAGACACATACACAGAGACAGCAAGGTGATCTCTTAAGCCGTTTTCATATTTTTTAAAATAAGTGAATTACGCTAAAAATTGTACGGAGATAGGGAGAAGGATTTCCGCAACCGGAACCCAGGGCGAACCAATAGGAGCAAGGAGAACAGAGTAAAGTGTATTGGCTCTCTATGTGGAAGTAATGTCTCATAAGTAAACAAAGAGGCAACGGGAAATACATTCCCAAGGGAATTATCATTTTTTCCGCAGTCGGCTCCACACTTATGTCCTAAAAAAGGATATAGGAAGATAGTCCGAATAGTTTATAACTACCCGACTACACGGCGTCACATCCCAGAAGACAACAATCAACATAAATTCGTTTTGTCGACCAGAATAACTACGTAATGTGTGTAGATCAGAGCCCTCTGGGATGGCTGATAGCATTTAGGTGTAATATGCGGCCTCCAAGTTTGGGGAGAGAAATGCTGGTACATATCTGCCCGACTGCATCAGTCACATTCCAATAATCTTCTTGGTATCAATCGTTCGGTAATTGTATTACTGGTTTACATTCTTCCTGTGTCAAAACCTTTGTGGAGGTAAAGGGCGGCCGGCCGGCCGGCCGGCGCGTAAGGCTGACAACCTCACTGTCATCTGTGAGCCGATTGTCTAGATAACGTGTGAGCCTCGACATCTCATAACCCTATGGGCTTTCACGGCTTGCTACGGGGATAGATTAACTTTTTTATCTGTGTCAAATGTCATGATTGTGAATCGCTCCTCGGAAATGAGTTTATAAGGTCCACTTGGCGGTGACCCTAAAGGAAACTATCATGCTTGATGTGACGCCGCGTAGTCTGGTGGAATTTTAAAGATATTTCGGGGGAACTTACTGTACAGGTGTTCAGGATGGAAGAATAAGTCAATAAAAAAGAAATAAAGTACTCCCCTTCTTCTGCGCCATAAAATCCAACAAGAAAACATGTACAATACAAAATTCGTATGATAGAGTCAATACTGAAGAAGCTGACGTTTTGAATCTGCGAACAAGTATAGAGCACTGGTCTAACGAATGTGATGTAACACGGCATCCTACAGGACTGTATCACATGAGATACAGAAAGTGCGCAGTGGACGTGAAAATGGTGGAAAGCCTCTTAATTGCGAAGCTTTTACTTCTAGGTAAAGAGCTCGCTGTGTTACATGTGTAGGAGGGTTAATGGACAGTAGCTGAGGCCACAGATACAAGTCCCGCAGGCCGACCCCCCCGCTCTCCGTACCTCACTCGAGCTACTATGGTTCTTCCCCTTCAGCGCACTTCCCGTGCATTTCACCTTCAGTAATTTAGCCATTCTGTTGGACACATGTTCGCAGTGACGTCCAGGTCACAACGTAAGTCAGTAAGATTTGGTAACGTGAATAAACTTGAATTTTAAAAATGAATTTAATACTTTGATTCTAAAAGGGGTCCAGGAATCCTGAGTCAGTATGAGAGTAGCT